ATAATTATCGTGTGCTTGCACTCCAATGGGTACTCAATATGCCTTCAAGAGAAAAAATAAATGGTAAAAAAAGAATTCTCTCTCTGCAATGATGCTTTTTCTCGATGTAGAGAAAGACGCACAAATATGTTGTTTTTTTCCAAGATTTTTCTGAATTATCGTTAAGTCATTTTGCAATCTTCATCTATTTATAATTAGGATAGAAAGACATCACTCATTCTACATAGTTATACTTATTAATGTTCGTTGCACATCTACGTGCAACAGGTAAAAAGAATTATTCTTGAGAACAACGATGCAACAGTCTACCGATATATGACGAAAAGAACAAGAAAATTGTTTTTTCATTATCATGCGCGATATTTTGAGTATAGATGTGTCTGTGTTGAAAATAGCTTTGATATCAATTGTCTTCAACATTTTCTTTCTGGTTTTTTGGTGAATGATTCAACAATTCAACTTAGTCTTGAGACATGAATGAACCAGTGAAGGACAGTGTTGAACAACAATATAATATGAGATGAAAAAGTGACATCATTTTTTTTTATTTAATCATGCAATGGGTAGACAATTAGTGCTATCGTAAAACAAGAGAAAAAGCATTCTTTTCTGTCCGATATCTTATACAATTGGTTTGATTGATGGAACTTCATCGTTTTTTTCGAGTTTATCCACATGAAAAAACCAAATCAAACGAAACATTGCAGATATGAGTAATATACTCTCATACTGGCTTGTTATAAAAATTTTAGATAAAGACTAGTATTTCAAGTTGTACAGTAGACATATATGTCAAACTTGAAAGTTGAATTCAATTATTGAATATTTGATACTTGAAGTCTTGAACTTCAAGTATTCAACTATTCTACTATTCAACTGAATCCCTTCCATAATAGAAGACTCTCCAGTATTAGAAGATCCCATGAAGGATACGATGTGAAATCCATAATAGAAGATTCGAGTGTTGTATTCGAAAAACTTTTTCGTTTTGATCTTCAAATCCCTCCTAGCTCGAGTTCAGTACACATTAAGTCCAGATCTTCCATGATTTGCAAATTAATGATGTTCTTCATTTTTTTGTTTATCGAAAAAAACAATATGTAAAACTAATATTGTTCTATCAAAATATCTAAAAAACGGTAGATCAAAAATCCTTAAAATACGATTAGAACGATATCCGAAATATAGTTTTAGTTCTTGTATCAGAAGAATTTTTTCAGAAAAATACACGTATGATAATCCTGTTCCGTAAAAAGTAAAATTTACAAAACAATACTGGATTCTGAATCTTTCTAATCAATTTTTAGTTCGATCCATTACTAATTAGAATGAGACTGTCAAACTTCTCTATGTTTATAGGGGCATGGAAGACGGATAGCTTTGATAATAAACTCATAGTAAACTATAAGCTTCAGGCTCTCTCATGCATTAGGTTATTTACAAACTAGGATATAAGACTACGTTTCTCTGAAAATGCAAAATAATACAAGAGCTTACGGTAATAATTCGATAAACGTCATCTCGATTGAAAAGAAGAGCTTAAAAACTTCACAAAACATGTATTTTGGAGGTTTTGCCGAAAACATAATTTTCGGTGGATCAGAATCAATTAATTAGTTGCCTCATTTGAGCGATGTTTCGACTCCAGGTATAACTGTTAATAATGAACTATATCTGAAAATCTAGAAATAACAATCGTTACTCTAATAGTTTCTGTGTCACTTCGTTTGTTACAATCAGTTAAAGCAAGAAAAACATCATATTCGAGTACTTTGAAGTACCTAGGAGTATGAGTACGATGTTCTCGTTTGAGTTAAAAGCACAAAATAAAGAACTGCGGAAAGTAGTGGTCAGTTATCTTAACTACTATAATTAGACATTTACTGAATACTCATTACTTTATATCAAAGCTCATATATTTTTAATGCTAAAAAACTCTGGAATCAACGGATGTTTTGCTGTAAACTCTATCAGCTGTGCCTATTCTATCCCAAACTCAAGCCATATTCTATCTAATCTAGGAGAATATTCTCAAATTCGACGAGATTTGATCAAAATTTTGTTATCAAAATTTTGAATGAATCCAGCTGAATTCTGGATCTTGTTTTCTGAATTTGATAAAATGGTGTACTAGTTTTGAATAAAGTAGACAGAGTTGGTAATATCTAACGAAAAGAATTGAGATCTCCATCAGCTTTTACTATCTAAAGTATGTAGTCTCTGAAATAAAGTAACCAAATTCGATACAAACCTAATTACAACTAGCTGATAAACAGTCATGTACTAGACGGGGACGTATCCAAGGGAGAGGCTAAGGAGACTCCAGGTTCTCCCTCAGGGAAAATTTCCCGTAGGGAAGTAGGTAGGCATTTATTGCAAAGCCAAAAAGTTATGAATTTTAACTTTTTAGCCTCCTCTTCAGAAAATTTCTGCGTAGGTTTCGGGAACTAGATAGTGAGAAGTGACGTTAACTGATTTTTTAAAGTTCATCTGAGTTTTGAAAAAACTCATCACAAAATCCTATTAAAAGATCCCTCATAATAGAAGGCCCAGATTCTTTTATTGTGGAGTGGGGGTTATTCAACTATTCAAATATTCAAGCATTCTGCAATTCAATTACTCAAATATTCAAATATTCAAGTATTCAAGCATTCAAGTATTCTACTATTCAAGTATTCAAGTATTCAAGTATTCAAGTATTCAAGTATTCAAGTATTCAAGTATTCAAGTATTCAAGTATTCAAGTATTCAAGTATTCAAATATTCAAGTATTCAGATATTCAAGTAGTCTACTATTCAAATATTCAACTATTCCAGTATTCAGGTATTCAGATATACAAGTAGTCTACTATTCAAATATTCAGATATTTAAGTATTCTACTATTCAACCGTTCAAGTATTCTACTGTCCAGGTCAATCACTCCAAACGTCGGAAGCGGCGTCTTATTCGGTCTGAACCGGTTGTTAAACGACATAATTCACGCCGTAGATGGTGAGAAACAAGCGCCGTTTCATGCCGTTTCCACTGAATAACGATGAGCCGTTTTAACGCGGCTTTCTCATCGAATACGGCTCATTTTCATTATTCACCTTGGGTGTGAATGTTCTTAAAGCCCTCATGCACACTCACACCCGCACTCACCCACATCCACACACCAACACCCACATCCTCAAAATGTTCGTTTTCTATTGAAAAATCATCAAAAATCATCATTTACGAGAGAGATGTGAACATCACTTCGCCTCGAAGGAGTACTCTTTTTCTCAACATTTTACTATTTTGTAGAGAATCAAAAGCTGCATAACATATAAAAAATTCAGCTTGGACTGCTTTAAAATGACTGAATGGCAACTGATATACTACAAAAACCTAGTAAACTTTAACTGAAAAAAATGAACAGTCACGAATCGTATTGAACATATAACTCTGGCATAGTCCGCTGAAGTATAGTATGTAAATAGCTCATTTTGTTCAACGTTTGACTCTCTATCTTTTGGTATATTACAGTAAATATTTCATTAATTTATTGTTATCTTAAAATGCTCAGCTTTAAAAGAAATGATTTTTGATGGTATTCTTAATATAACTTCTTGAGTACTCCAAAAGTTGCATCAGACTAACTTTTCACCAGATTGTCCAAAAGCACTAAAAATTTAGATTTAAAGGTTTTAGATGATGCTGAACACGATGAGAATGTCAAATCAAAAATTAAAATTTTGACCAGTGCCTCGATTCCTTGATCGCCTCATGGACTCTCTCTTAATGAACGCTATGAGGATATTATTCGAATGAAACTAACTTTAGAACAGTTCCGTCCATGTTTCAAACAGGCTTTCAACTTAACAAAGTTAAATTTTGGTCCAGTACGCATACACACTAAATCAACTTGTTAACAGTGACTCTTTCGCATGACATCATTTATTAAATCACAATATAATCAAATCGATTACTAAGTAAATTTTATTAAAGTTCTTATTTTTTCAGGGCTTGTCGACAGGCATTCATTTTAGCTATCTTAGCATTGAAGCCACGACCTTCGACCAGAACACCATTTGCTGTTCGAACGACGCAGATTGCTATCGGTCTGTCATCGCTCTTGTCTATTGATTCACTAAAAATGCAAGAAAATTATAAAAATTCTCTTGTTGAGATGAAGCATACTGGACTATTTTGCCACCAGTCTCTGTAAACGATCTTATAGGATTCAAATTGGGATGATTAATTGATTGATCTAAATGACAAAGAAACGGCTTTGAGCGTGCTAATTCTATTTAAAGCAGTTTTACCAAGATATTTTCCTAGTAGAGGTTCGACGACTCGCCATACGACGTCTAGAGAATTGCCTGAATCGAGAAAGATGGCACCAACAAGTGCCTCAAATACATCAGCGAGAGCTTTGGGTGCTGTGGAATCGGCCCATTGATCAAGATCCTAAATAGGCTAACACAAGTTTCTATTCTGAATAGCAACCAACTGTATTTGATGCGAATGTTCCTTTAGAGCTATTGTAGAGTAAATACTTTGCTTAAATATTGATCAACTGATTGGTCTTTAAGAAAGACGTCTTCATCACCAGCATACGATGAAATATGACCAAATAGATCAGTTGAATTATGAAGAATTTTACGATGAAGACCACATGCTACCAAAATATAGGCAAGACGATCGTTATTCGATAGATCTTGACGAATATCAGTGACGCGACCTGGGGGTAAAAGCGAACATATTTTTATATCATAAATGATACAATACTGCTTACCTGGTGTCACCTTCTGATTGTAATTGACGAATACGTAGCGTGTAACTAAAAAGTCAAGTATTGCATCTCCAAGAAACTCTAATCTATAAAAAGAAAGGCATAGATCTATGATTCAAAATTTATTTTAATTATTTACCTTTCATAACAATCTGTTAGACGATTGGAAAAACTTGACGGATGAGTGAATGCTGCAATAAGATACGCCTTGTTTTGAAAGGTATAGTTTATCATTGTTTCAATTTCATTAAATGCTTTGTTATGAAAAAATTTATTAATGATCTCACAGATCTGATTTTCATTAGTCGATCCTATATTCGAACGAAGAATGGATGGTGATTCTGCAACAGAAATCACACGGAGACCAAGCCAATGCATGAATTGGATTGTCGTTGTATAATTCGTCGAAATGAGAAAAGCACCAATAAATGCTTCAATCATATCGCTAAAAGCTTTTCTTTTAGCAGTTTGATAAGCGTAGCGTTGACCGATGATTGATTCGGTGTCATTGATCATGTATCCAGGTGGTAGCCAATTGGCATTTTGACCTCGAACTTCAATTTTATTAGCATTCAAATAGCTTTTCAGTTCTTTTTGAATGGCTAATCGATACAGATTTTCATTGGAGATTTGTTTATTTTTCTTTACTGTCAAGAGACCAGCATCGGCCGATGGATATTGATAATACAACGCCATGGAAACAGCCAATTTGAGAAAACAGTCACCGAGAACTTCGAGATTTTCATTGTCCATTTTTTCACCACAAGAGCGTCGTGTTATTGCTTGGAAGAGTATATCCGCGAATGGTTGTTCATTTATGGATTGATTGTTTGCAGTTAATGAATCATACGAAAATATCGTCAAGGGTAGTATAGGCCTTCGAGTCTGAAAAACTCAATTCATATTTCTTCAGTTCTCTAGGACCAGCATCTTGCTGAATACTTACAGTATAGAGTGTTGTAGTTAGTGCCGGATCGATATTGTTAAGACAATCATCAAAGTTTATAAGTTTTCCCGTGTACTTCATATCCATAATCTAAAATGGAATATGATTCATTCAAAGAGAAGCGAGTCGATCAAGATTTTTCATACCGAATAGATTTTAAGTTTCGAAGCAAACAATTGTCGTAATTGTTCAGTCCAATATAGCTGAGTGAGCCGTACGAGGATACTTGGTAGTTTATAAAACAGTTTCATATCTTCTTGATTTAATGGAGCGTAATGAAGAAGTTCTATTGGAAGATAGACCGTTCGGTCACACACTGAATCGTCCTTTGCCTTCTTTCCAGTTGGGCTTGGATGCAGATAGTTAATTCGAGGATTACTAACAGATTTCATCGTTGCCATCAATGCATCACATTCGATAGAGATTTGTGGTACTTTATCCTGGAAATAGTCAGCATGGGTTTTGATTGCATCCGATTTTCTTTTGTATATCCATGGATCTGAAGTTCGTTTTGATAGAACATTACCTGGCATAACAATATAAAACGGTTTGTGAGACAAATACCAAGCAACGTAGAGTTCATTATCAGATAATTGAGAATAATGTTTAATAGGTTTATTCAATCGATTGCAGATTGAAAGCATTCTCTCAACATTGATCTCATTGCAGTCTGCAAAACCTAAATTTCTTGATAGAAAAATATGATTGTGTAGAGTCTTACTTTTCAATAAACACGGAAATAATTTAAAGGATGATTGTTCAGTATTAAACTTGAGGATTGACTGTGAACCTTTGATAATTCCATCAAAGACATGTTCGAATAAATATTTGCAGAACGACTCTAGTTCAATTTTGTATTTCTGGTACTCAATTGTTTTTACATAGGTTATATCTACGGTTAATATTTCATCACCAGCATCATACAAAGAGAAACGTGGTATCTAAAAATACATCTAAATCTATTCGAATACTCAAAACAGATATATATCACTTACGTCGACTAGTTTCGATGGTACGATAAATCCAAGTTTGTCTTTTTCTTTTCGAATATTGATTCGGTAGAGATGCCAAGTGTCGGAGGAGTCATTCGACTGACGAGGAAATGTATTGATCTACATATGAGAGAAACTTATGATTATCAATACATATATTTTCGTACGTTTCCTAACTGACTTGTCTTTCAAACTGTTCTATAGTATCGCTATTTTTCTTTTCGAACAGCTCATCACACAATTTAAACAGTTCATGTTCGATCAAAATGTCCTTTTCTATTAATGAAATCTTACTAAAAGGACGACATGAATCATCCAATGCTTCTAAATGGATTATTGACAAACAGTATTATATACATTATTTGACAAGTTTAACTCACTGTTTCGATGCAGCAACTCAACCATTTTCAAGCAGCATTGGAATTTGGCCAGCTTTTTACTTTTATTTTCACACTAAAATGCATCATCACATAGCAGTTATACTCTTTATCAGTATAGAATCTATTGCATTTGAAGTTAGACAAACTTACTTTAATATCCTCACTCACTGGGCAGTTTGCTGGCATTGAGAGAACACTTATAAAGGTACTCTGACTAGTTTTATGATAAAGAATTCTAGGTGGACATAGCCGACCATTGCCAATTATTGCACAATATCTAGCGAAACCCAAACACTAAATTGTTAAGCATATCGCATAAACGGAACTCACTGGTGGATAATCTGAGCAGCTCGTACTGCCCTAATGACCGCACCATTCTCTCTTCGATAAGGTTCCAATTGATTCAAATCATCTGTATTAAAATCATCATCATTATCGATAGAAAATTCTTCTTGAAGCATCTAATATAATGTCGAAGAAATATTCGATAGAGTCGAAGAAAGATAGTAGGAGAGCAAAGTAACCTTTTCAATTTGTTCATAACTTTGGTACGTGATCATATCGTTCGAAACACTTTTTCCGTCGAGTCCATCAATTAGAATTACATACGATGCATTTTGTTTGGCTCTGGCGCGTCCTTTCGATTGCATATAGGACGAAAAATTCGGTGGTCTATTGAAACGGAATACAAGATTACATTTTGGAATATCAAGACCTTCTTCGACTACGGCCGTAGCCACTAAAACATTGATTTCACCACTCCGAAATTCTTTTATGGTTTGACGCTAAAAAGAAAGCTTGATTTTCTAATGAAAAATCAAATGCAATTTTTCAAACTTTATATTTTGCTGTCATTGCTGTTGAACCAACACTTGATTTTTGTCCTGTAAGATATTTGAATTTCAAACGTTTTATATTCTCTGCTAAAGATCTTTCACTAAGAAAGTTCAATAGCTGATTCAAAATGATTGCTGTGTAGATGCGTTGAACGAAGACAATACACCGACCGAGACTGTCTTTGTCAATATCTTGTTTGATACGATGAAATAAATTGAGAACTTTCGAACTGAAAAGAATCTCATCATTATTTTGATTTATATGAATCAAATTTCGAAGAATATCGTCGGTGAGACAATCGATGCGTCGTACCGAACTATCGAACAATTCTTTTCCTCTTTCGTCAGTTATTAATTCCCGTGCTCGAGATGATTTGAGGGTTTTCTGCAGTGCTTTAGCTGCTAGAAAAAGACCATAGATACCAAGTTCATAACCAGTGTGCAATAAATTTTCAAGATAGTGTTTCAGACGCGGCAGATTAACGTATTCCGATTGGAGAAACATTGTGTAGCCCACCGAACGAGCAATGTATTCAAGAAAATTTTCATCCAAATAGTCTGTCATGAGCATAAATTCCACAAGATCTTGTTCAATGTTTTCACGTTCTGCTTTTTGTTTGCTCAAATACGGTTTCAAATCATCTACAATTGATTGAATTGTCTAAATATCACTTTCAAATAGAGATGATCCTATTAAAAAAGAAATTTACCTCAAAAGGAATTTTGATACTTTCTTGATCGTTTTCAAGCTGATCTTGATAGGTTAAACAGCGGATTGGTTCGAATTGAACTGATGTACCATGCCGATTACTTTCTTCTCTATTTGTACCACTAGCAACTCGAGCCCTCAAAAAAGAATCAAAAGAATCTTATAAAATCAGATTTCAAAAGATATCGATCAAATTACTTATAAGTTTGTTCAATCTGCTGAACAGCGTTTGACAGTTGATAAGGTGTGATTTTTTTTGCGCTGATTGATGCTGTTAGGCCTAATATACGGGGTGGATCGTGACATTCATTGTATCTTCTCATCAATGCAGGATAACAACTTTCTCCTGTTGAATGTTGGCATTCATCAAAAATTAATAAGTTGACATTGTACAAAGCTGAAATGGATAAAACTATAATCTATTTTCGACTAAGAATCCGCGACTTACGGAAATAGTTATGTTCAATCAGATTGAGAAAAACCTGAGCAGTAAATACAAGTACTTGGTGGTTCTCAAATTCATTGATCCATTTCTCTTTTGACCAAGAATCCACTCCTAAATCACCGTAATATGTGCCAACAGTCAAATCTGTATGTATACGAATATAATCACTTTGTTGTTGAACAAGTACAACTGGAGACAGAAGACTTCGATAATAATGATTTGATATAATAAAAATTCTAACCTGTTTTGACGAGAAATACAGTTCGTTTTCCTCCGTCGTAAATACTCTTACGCGTCTCTTGTGCCAATTCTTTGATGAGCATCACAGCTATATAAGTTTTCCCACTACCAGTGGGTAAACAAACGATCAAATTTTCATCTTTAGCTTGTTCGACTAGTTCAGTCTGTTAGAAAATAAACTAATTTGAACAATTTATTTTCTTCATAGGACATTTTACTTGATAGGATCGTGGTATTATTACAGAATCTTGTGCAATAGTGATATCATCAATGTTTACTGTTGTATTGCAAGAAACATCCAACTTACTGGAAATAGATAAAATCGATTGTTGTCGAAATGATTACTGCATTTCAATGAGTATGGAGTCTCAAATTAGGCAATATCACTTACGGATGTTTTGCTGGAGAGCACGACGTTGACATCACTGTTGATTCAGGTGGTGCGCGTTTCATTTTTTTAATATTCAAATTTATCTTGTTAGTGCATTTTTATTTTATACTTTTTCCCAGTTGGAATATTTACATTTTCTTCTATTGGCTGTCGTCTTCCACCTAACAGAAGAGTATTTTTACTGCTGAGATAGAGGCCGCACACAAATGAGTTTCTCCACTGTGCGCGTGTGGGAATGGGTTTGTATGGGTTGTGGGTGAGTGTGGGTGTGTGTGGGGTGTGCGTGTAAGTATAGATGTGGGTGTGAACGTTGATGAAGATAAGTAACTCAAAGACTAACACGTAAAATCACGTCCTCATACCCATATCTCACCCACACCCGCACTCGAGTAGGATGTAGTCTTTTTTTTTTTTTTTTTTTTTTTTTTAACATAACAATTTTATTAATCCCATTAGGGTTACCAATTATCAAATATAACAGAAAAAAGAGTATAAACTTCATCACATGGAATGGACAAAAAAGAAAATTCGTTTCGAGTAGGATGTAGTCTTTCGAATCATAACTCATAATGATTTATTTTTTATTATTCCCATAATGGAATAAAGCTGCTTCATTTAAAAATTATCGATAAACAATTTTATGTATGAGATTAATCTTTCGAACATACAATTATTTTTGAAACTGAGATTTCACATAATTTTTTTTTCTAGTCATCATTATTACATTGAGTCAGTAAAATTATACCAAACTATGAAATTCTAACAGAAATAACCATGTTTTTAAACGGGCACAAATTGTTTTTGTCATAGAAATAAAAGCTTCAGGATGGTAAAGCATTGTTGTTGTCGTCAAGTTGCAACAGAATATGAGTCATCGCTCGGCATTTTTTCCCACTAGTATCATTAATAAAAGAACGCTTTACACACGGTGACGACCTGATTTCTTTTTATTGTTGTGTTGTTTTTGTTTGAATTTTTCTTCCTATTTTGCAGTATAACACGAAAGCTACAGCTTCGCAGAACAACTACTAAAAGAATACAATGTCTAGTGGTAAACAACGATCCAACCGAAACCGACCTCGAACAATAAATAATAGTGAATTATCTAGATCAGAAGTGCATTTTTCTGATAATGATTTCCCACCACTTGGTACAACATCACAACAAAATGCTGCTACTACTTCAACTTTCCATACAGTATACATTAAATCATCAACATTTTATCCTATTTACTATTTTTTATTTTTATTAGATGCAGCCAACAATATCAAGTATACATGAGGAGCAGTCTCTAACACAAAGTAGTGTTTTATTTACTAATATGTTTTTTATTCTAATGCTTTGTTACTTCTTTTAGACCATTATATGCAATCTGGAAATAGAAGAATTGTTGCTAATATTCAGCCTCTAGTGCCATCTACTCAACCATCATTACAACCCTTAATGACAAAAAAACCCAATGCAAGAGAAAAATTCCCAGTAGCGGAACAAAGACAATTCGGATCAGCTGTCTTACATAATGCATCGAGTTCAGCAACAACAGAAAATATTGAGACTCATATAATGCATTCAATCACTATGAGTTCAAATACAGCTACAGGTATACATCATATCCAATGAAATTTGTCTTGTATAGAGAAACTAAACGAATAATTATTTATTTTTCCTTTCTGCTTTAGATAATAACTCAACTGTGACAAAACAACGACCTTTAACACCTCATGAAAATAAAATCTATGAGAAAATATGTGAAATTATTTTACAAATTCACAAAAGTAAAAATTATGTATCGCGTGAACAAGTTCAACGAGAATTATTTCATTATTTTAATGTTAACTCGTGGCATGACTTACGAGTTCAAGCATCAAGATTTGATGCATTGATTAATCTTACTGATCGGCAAAAAGATGTAACTTTTTATATGCACGTCTTTGAACAAACATTTAATTTATGTACACTAAATGATCTTGATGCACTTGTTGCTAGATTTATGAAAGTAGAAAAATACGACGACCTCCTATTAGGTCCACTTGATAAAAATCCAGAAGTACGAAGCATATTCAAATATAAACCAATTGATCCTAATCAACCCATTCCGAAAATAACTACTGGAGAAGTCATTAAAAAATTCATAGATTTTCTCAAATCATGCCGACATCAACGACAGATGCCATTTGATAGATTTCTCGATCAGCTTGTTGAAGAATATCAACTTGAGTCACGTGAAGAATTGGGTCTTTTTTGCAAGTCATTTCCGTATCTAGTGCAGGTAATCTAGTCACTGAGATATTTTGTTTTATGTTAGCTTTTATGATTCTTTCTTTTCTTCATAGGTCACCAAGAATTTACTACGAGAACAGGACTATCATATGCAACAAGTACAAGAAGAATCAAAACAACAAATTATTGAAGAGGTTCGTGCTCATTTGGCCGAGCTTAAAGAAAAAATGCGCGATGAATTAGAACTTTCATCGTTTAATAAGAAAAAAACACCGACTGCTGTATTCAATTATCTCGTATCGATTGTGGGTAAGTATTTGAATTTCATTCCTGAACAACCACAATTCTATTGGATCCTAACTCAACTTCGTGATGATGAAATGTTGCGATGTTTATTCAACATAAGCATTTACTTGGGTACTATTGAAAAGCCGGAAACATTTATGCCAGAACTTCAAAAACTTTATGGTCATCAAGAAAAAATTCCATCTTCACAAGACACAATGACAACGCAACAATTATCTATGCTCAATGAAAAAATGAGCAAAAAAGATCGCAGAAAAATGAAAGCTATGATGGAACAACAGCAATCACAATCAGGGTGTTCAAACTTAGCAGTCAACGAGCAGACGGTAAGTTTTGCTGTATTCATAGGTAATTTCTTTTGATAATTACACAACTCTTGCACACATAAGGTATCTAAGTAGATGAATGTGTAGCTCACATTTTCACCATATTACATCTATAGTTAATGTCTCGAAAATTTTTGCGTACATCAGTATCTTACATAAAATTTTCTAGAAACAGTCACCCGAATTTAAGAATCTGGTGATTGACTCTATGAAAGAAAATATGATTACTTAGAACCGAATCTAGAAAAACCAGTCATGGATTCCTTCTCACAAGCTCCTATAGTTTTTCGAGAGGAATCTGCTGAGAATTCGAAAATTTGGCCGTCGAACTCATTGATTCGATAAGTATTCATACAATGAAACGTTCTGTAAGACACTTAACCAAGACTCTGTGATATAATAACAATAAAGGATCCAAAAATATATCTTACTGACAATTGAGTACATTTCCTAGGAAGAGTATTCTATGAGAATCATAATGCAAGACTATGTACACTGTCTTATTCTCTCATATACGGCTGTATCTGTTCGGTCTGGATATCTTTAACATACAGTTATTAACTTGTCTACCCAAGACTAAATTTCTAAATGAAACTATATTGAAACTCTTATATTTATTCAATTTCAGACAACAACAAATACTACATTTCATACTCCTTTCAGTACAGATTTCTCAAGCTCGTTCTTAACATCTCATCATATTAAATCCAAAACACCAGTATCGTTTAAACAACTTTGTTCTGATATCTATGATTATCTAGTTCATTATGATATTCCACTCACAATTGAAGAACTCCTCAAAGTTGATGAGCAACTCTGTGCTCAATACCATGTTACTAGTTTTTCTGCATTTTCCTATGATGAAAATGACAATGACGATAATCCTGCAAATTTAATATCATTTCTTAATAAACATCGCCACATAATTGATCCACATGACGAATTATCCGTTTATGAACAAACAGCATCGATAGATGATCAAACGGATTTATGTTCATTTGTTCAACAGTTAAACATTATCAATAATGATGAAAAAAATGAAGAATATCAAACCCAACATGTAGCCTTAACTCATGGACATATACACACTAAACAAATATATATAAGTGCAGAAAAATTATCAGCAGTAGAAAAGGCTATTAAACATAAATTTCGTGGATCTGTTAGTTTTCGTAGAGGAAATCAAATAATACGGAAAGCTAAAAAGCAATTTCACAAAAATAAACCTACAATTCTTCGGTAAGAATTCTTTCTGCCTATATGTATATCGTAAATGAAATACATTATTTTGTTGTAGCTTCGAAGAATCATTATTAGATGTCAATGGTTTAAATCAATTGGACATTTGTCCTATATCATTAAATGTTAATGAAACTCAACTTTGTCAATTAATACTTCATTG